TATTATTATTATTATTATTATTATTATTATTATTATTATTAGTGGTGTGTTTTGCACCAGAGTGCATTCCAATAAAATCAGTAATGTACAAACATGAAAAACATTTAAACACAACACTCTTAATTATATGTGTGTGTTTGTGTGTATAAATGTATCCTTTTGCTTTTTTGTTATACTGTACTGTATTGCATGTTTTTGTTGCTTTTCTTTTTCTTTCTTTCTTTCTTTCTTTCTTTCTTTCTTTCTTTCTTTATTTATTTATTTATTTATTGCATTTATATGCCGCCCATCTAGACATAGTCTACTCTTTTGTTACTGTTGTTGCTGTTTTTGGTTGCTGTCCTTGTTCTGATGGTTTTTCGGCTGCTTTGTGACATGTTGCGTGGTTTGCTGGCATGTGTTAGTCAGCTTCTGTACCCTTGATCGGCATGCATTCCACCGCAGAGTCAAAGATCATAATGACATCAGCGAGGCATGGTGTGAAAATGTCTAATCTCTCTTGCTTGTTTTCATTGTTTTGTTGGGTTTTTCATGGACTGGAGGTCAACATGGTCATTGACCATTATGGATCTCCTCACATGACAGAGGGTGCTGGCTCAAATCTTAATGCCATTTGAGAATCTGTTGTTTTTGATATTAACTCATTGAAAAACTTGGAGGACACCCTACGGAAAAAGATGTTTGATAAATGGAGGCGCCTGGTTTTTTTTTTTAAAGGAAGGATATTAATTATTTATTTGATAGTTTCCATTTTAACCTTTGATTGGAAAAGAATCTCTTCTGTCTTGCTTTGAAATCACCTGTCTTTGAAACCAGTGTTGTATGCATGGGGGGAGGGAGGAGCTGTTTAAGAAGGACTGCCTGAGATCTTCTGTGTTGGATTTTTAGGTGCCCCCCCCCCCGAATTTGCTTGTGGACTAGCACTAAAGAAAAATTTTGCCACTTGAATGTGGCTGTTGCAGGCAAAATGGCTAGACAAATCATCAAAACTTTTAAAAAGTGCTTTAAGAATTGGTGCATTGCTTGGCCTTTAAACTCGAGAGTTCCCTGATTGTTTTGGGGAGAAGGAAATTGGTCAACCTCCAGGGACACAGTAGAGGGGTGTGTAAAAAGTCCAAAGAAGAAGAGATGGGTGCTCCAGGGTGTGTCATGGTGCAATGTTACTGCTCCTATGAGGAAGCACAGGAACAAAAGACTTATTGGGATTCAGGAAACTGCAATTTCTACAAATCACCTTTAACAGCAGCTATAAGGAGAGCAAAACAGCATGAATCCTTAACTATTCTAGCAGCAGCCAGGATGTTTATGTTACTCACACTCTTAATGTTCATCACCTGTGTTAGTAATGCTACATAGTGTCATTTAGAAATTTCATTTTATGTACTCGTAGCTCTCTTCATTCTATCTCTAGCCCAAAAAATGTATTCCTTTGTATAAACCGGAAGCTAAATATTTCATTATATGTGTCTGAGGAAGAAGATTGTAATCCATGAGATCTCTCTGGGGAATAAATTTGATGGTCTTATTGTTAATGAAGTATAATATATATTTATTTTTCATTTTTGTTGTTCACGTTGCAACAGACTAACATGGCTATCTCTTTGAAATCTCATTTAAATGCATAGTCTTCTTCTGTGACAAACTGATTTCATACAAAGATTGTGAGAAATTATAGCACGAAATGTATGTAACAAGTAATCTAAATAAATTGGGGATAATAGATAAATTGGGGATAATAGATAACCATGTGGGCTTGGCTTTGTCCTCTCTTTCTTCTATTTCCTGGGTAACTGCCTGCTGATATGCCAATTACAACTGGCAGCTGTTACTTTCACCTTTTTCCTGGAAAATCTCAGTTTTTCTTGTTCTCCATTGGTAGAGAAAGAAAGCACAGGAGGTCTCTTCCATGATGGTTATCCTCAGCATACTTTCACACAAAGAAACCGGCATTAAGAGCTTTTATAATCCATCAGGGCACTTCCTCCTCTTTTGTCCCTAAATGGACTTCTTAAAACCATAACTATAGGTTTTATTTTTTTACCCAGTTATGGAGTAATTATAATTATGTGCTGTCCAACTTATGGCAGTCCTTGCCAAGGTTTTCTAGATATGAAGTAGAAGTGGTTTACCATTCTCTTCTTCTGGTGGCACTGTAGGATGGTGGAGTTTGCCCAAGGGCACAGAGGCTGACTCAAGCACAATGGGGAATCAACACACTGTGCTATCCCCCCTGTTTAATCATCATAAGCTCATCACTTGCCTGTGCACTCTCCTAGCATAAATATTGAATATTATTAGAAAGGCAAACTGAGGCTGCCTTCTTGAGAGAGTGGAGCTGCAAACAACTGAACAGCATGCCAGAGCTACCCCCACAAATCACACAAGTCCTATGGGAGGAAATGAGGGGAGGGCACGCCAGCAATGGGATCTTCAGGGCTGCACTAATTATTTGGTGAGAACTTTGTCCAAGGACCAAAAGAGATGTGGAGCTTTGCAGTTCGAATAGGAGTATGCTTAAACAGTAAAGACATGTGATTATCATCTAACATCTTACATGTCTCACTAGCTGCCATTTGGTTTCAGCTGAAAAGTCAAAAGTTTTAGAGGAGTTACTCCAATCGCTCAATAATTTTGATTGCCCTTTTCGACATCTTTTACAATTAGTGCTTTAAATTAGAAGAAGAGGCACTAAAAGGGGGAATCAAATTCTATGTAAGCAGATTTAAACTTTGGGCCAAGAAATCCCAGTTTACCTGAGATCTTCAAGCTAATGTATATCATTATTTCAAGTGTTTTCCCTTTTCCAGTCACCTCCCAGCAAGGTAAAAACAAGGAAAAATAAAAACACAGTAGTTTTATAATATTAAGACCCAATCAAATTATAACATTAAAAACACAACTGAATTAAAAGCAGTTTTAAAGCATGCCAGTAAATGAAGCACAGTACTCACCACTTAAAAGCTCTTTCCAAGGCAGCTGGCCCATTGCCAAAGTCTGCAGGAATAAAACATTTTTCATCTGTGGGAGGAAGGATAACAGTGCAGAGTGAACCCGTCTTCCCTTGGCAAGGAGTTCCACAGTCTGAAAGCAGCTGCCAAGATGGCCCTCACTCATCCCCTGAAAAATGAGTCTTTGAGGATGGTAGTATTTTCAGAGTCGCCTTTGTAATGTATAGTTATTTGTGAGTGACATTCATACTCCATCTTTTCTTGAACACGCTCAAGGTGGTGGATGAGGCTGTTCTGCATTTCTCTTCACAATGAATCTGAGAGGTAGATCAGAAAGAGAAAGAGGCCAGAAGTCACCTGCTCTGCTGCATGGCTCAAGAAGAACTGGAATCGCTCACATTCTAGTCTCATATTTGACTGCGGCACCACATTTTCTCAAAGCAACATCACCACCTTTTAGCCACGCTGCTCTTGGAGGTTTCTGGGCCAGGGGAGGTTAGTTTATCAATTGCTAGGAATCTGTTTGTTGGATGCTCCTCACCTCAGCAGGAGCAACAACTGTTCTGGGAGACAGCAAGGCCTGTGCACCTGGTTTAAACAGCTGGTCCCCCTTCTCAGCATATTGAGGACCAGGATGGTGGTGCAAGGGATAGCTCCTCAGGGTCTGGCCCAGAAAGTGCCTTACCCAGAGCCAGCCCATTTATACAACATGGATGGAAAGCACATTGCCTTCCTCAAAATAGGAATGACTGGAGAATAGAGTTCTATTGAATGTGTGTGCATGTGAGAATACCATGGCATGCAGTAAAAATGTATTTATTTATTTATTTATTTATTTTATTTTATTTATACTCCGCCTATCTGTTCAAAATGACCACTCTAGGCGGCTTCCAGACATATCAAAACACAGTAAAATGTACATACTATCTGTTCAAAATGACCACTCTAGGCGGCTTCCAGACATATAAAAACACAGTAAAATGTACATACAACAAAAAACCAATATACTAAACAATAACAATAGGCAGCCAACAATAAACAATAAACCCCTTCCTTCAGAATATTCTTACAAGAATCTTAAAAGAAGAATCTTTAAAAGGGGAGGGTGAGGGTGGTCCATATTAGGACACATAACATTAGTTATGAAATTAATGAAAGGGTTCAGCTTTCTCAGCCTCACCTGGAAGTAGCTGTAAGGACTGACCCTTGCCCTACGACACCCCTTAAACAAAGGCTGTAGTTCTACCATGGAAAAAGTGCCTGCAGGATTAAAGGGTTAACATGAAGGTAGTTCAGTTCTGATGGTTGTTGTGGGTTTTTCGGGCTCTTTGGCCCTGTTCTGAAGGTTGTTCTGTCTGATGTTTCACCAGTCTCCGTGGCCAGCATCTTCGGAGGACTGGAGTAGGAACTCTGTCCATGCTCTGTCCTACTCCAGTCCTTTGAAGATGCCGGCCACAGAGACTGGCGAAACATCAGGAAGAACAACCTTCAGAACACGGCCAAAGAGCCTGAAAAATCCACAATAACCATCAGATCCTGGCTGTGAAAGCCTTCGAGAATACGTAGTTCAGTTCTGTCTGGCATTTAGTCTAGGCAGGAATAAGCCGAAGTTGTTTTGCTGATGTTTTGCCAGGGCAGAGCACCGAATTCCACCCACCCACCCCCAGTTTCTGGAGTCAAGCAAGCTAAGCTGCCTTGCTACGCACTTTTCCCTTGAATTGCATTAACAGTATCCTTTATTTATTTTATTTTTATTCATTTTTCCAGATCTTACCCCACCCATCTAGATTCAGTGAATCTACTCTGGGCGGCTTACGTTCTGAATATAAACCAAAATTTAAAACAAACGATATCAGACAACATAGAGATAAGCAAAGACCAAGATGGTAAGACATAGAGAATTAAGAAATGGAAGGGGAGAAGGCCTGTCTGAAGAACAAAGTCTTCAGCTTGTTCTTAAAAATTACCAGCGAGTGTGCCAGGCGATTCTCCAGGGGCAAGATGTTCCAGAGGCCACTGATGAGAAGGCCCCGTTTCTAGTTCTCTCCTTCCGGGCCTCTCTTGAGGCCAAGCCCCTCAGCCACCCAACCTGGCTAGATCAAGTAATACGAGTAGATCTAGGTGGGAGCAGGCACTCTGTCAGGTGTCGAGTTCCTAAACTGTCTAGGGCTTTATATGTAAGCATTAACACCTTGAAGCCAATGTGGAAATGAATGGCAACCAGTGTAAGGCTGCCAGAGTGGAGGAAATGTGATGGTATTTTTTTTCACTCCAGTTAATAATCTGGCGACTGTATTCTGGACCATTTGTAGTTTCCGCATCAATCTCAAGAGCAGCCCCACGCAGAGCGCATCACAGTAGTCTAATCTCAAGACTATGAGCGCAAGGACCAGAGTGGTGAGCGCCCCAACATCAAGATAGGAGCTTGATGTTTTGGGGTTTGTTTTTTCCCTTCAGTAAATAAATATTCAATAAATACTGTGCCCCCAGCCACCCAGAATCTCGGGGGGTTCAACACTGAAGGTGTCGAAGTGGTCTACTTGCCCCAAAACACAGTGTATCTAATTCAGCCTCTAGATTGGGGGTAGTGGTGGTTAGAAGGACCTTTAAGGCTCATTATACATGGAAACATATGGAAAGGACTGTCAACGCTATGGAAGAGAACTCTAATAGAAAGAATTGCTCTCTCCCTCTCTCTCTTGATCAGCCATGCTTTGTAGTTAGGTTTTCGGGGGCATAAGATTTATACATGTATTTTGATCTAACCCTGCCCCTAAAGAAGGGGATAGAGTTATTGAAGGGAGAAATACATGAGGTAGCAGATCCATGAGCACCTCTTTTCCTCCCTGGTGATAAAAATAATAATAAAGTAAATAACTAACAATTTGCGGCGTTTTCAAAATACCACAACTCTGCTGCCTAAGGCCCCCATCTCACAGTGGCCAACAGTAGGGCCAGCCCTGGATCTGATGTGTCATAGCTTGTACCCACTTATAGAGCTAGAGGCCAAATACATACATACTCAAAACATGTTTTTGACTTGGTGACTTTGGGGCAATCCATGTCTCCCAGATCAACCTACCTTGCAGCTCTGATAATAAAAACATAAGAATAATTAAGAGTGAGTGGGGACGATGGGCTTTATGCATGTTAGCGGCATTTCTGCCTCTCTGGGTACCTGGGCTGATAGTTCCCACTTATGCCTGTTTGGTTTGCAGTTCTTAGGATTTTTTTTTAAAGTTAGAGTAATATCACCAAGACAAGCCATTTTCCCACCTGAGGCAAAGAACCAGATGTGTCCATTTCTCTGCCCACCACCCCAGTTCCGCAACTGAGACTTATTTGAGCTGTGGTGGTGGGATAATGGTCAACCACATCTGAAGCAGCAGTTTAATTCAAGGGGTCCAGGTCAGGCTATTGTGGCATGACTTTCTCCTCCAGCCACAGATATACTGTAAAAAAAATCTTGATTTTGTTGGCTTTCTCCAACTCGCTTGCATTTTCTTCCCATCTTCATTTGCTGCTGGACTGACTGCAAGACTTTGTGTTCTCTCCCTACTTTTAAATTTGTGAATATTTTGAATGCACTTTTATTGTGTATTTTGCCTCTCCTGTGCAACACTTCCCAATGGATTGGATTGTGTCTACTTTTCGGCCAATTATGCCCATAATAGCCACTCACATTTTAAAACCCCATTCATTGTTTGCACATGCGTGATGCAGATTGACGCGTGCAAATTCTTAAGATGAAACACATCTCCGATCACAGGTCCTGGGAAAGCCAAAACATGGCTTACGTTGAGAACAACTTATGCAGCATCATTCTTTTCTGTTCACACCTTCAACATAAGTGAGCAGCCAGGGAGGGGGGAATGCTTCCTCCCAGCCTCTGTGGCCTGAGATGGAAGAACAGGCAGCAATAGCCCAGCCTCACAGCAGGGAAACATTTACACAGGGCTGAAACGTGCAGTTCCTGGATGCTTCAGCTGAAATCATGAGGTTGAATGGCAAAGGAGGGGCGGGCAGTGTGTGTGAGTGAGAGAGCGAGCATTCCTTCTTCATTCATCCATCCCTCTAAAGCAGCTTTAAAATTCACTTTCCCCACCCCCAGCCTGCTTCCCTCACTCCAGACAGCATGCGCTGTGATTAAAATAACCTCACAAATGGCTGTGCAAGATCTCTCCCCCCCCCACTCCCCCTCTGTTGCTGCACAGTCAGTTCACAGTTCTAAATGGGTTCCCATAGCCACAAATGGATGCACCCGTGGTTCCAGGGAAATGAAGCGATCGATGGCGGAGTTCAAATATAGCTGAATGAAACCAGCACAGCACTTAGAGAGGAGAGCCAAGTTCCTTTCACCACCACGGCAGCGTATACCAGGAAAGGCACTTACCTTGCACATAAACAGACGTGGCACCTGTGCCAAGGGGTAAGCAGCAAAACTCCCCCCCCCAAGCAGGTTTATTCTTGGGAGCAAAGGGCTGCCTTTGGCAAGCTGAAAAGAGGCAAAAAGGTCTGCAGGTGTCTAATCCTCCTCCCTCACCCCACACCATGACCCCCCACTTTGGAAAAAGATTTAGGGTTTCAGATTTGGAACAGAAGGTGGGCAGGTTAAGTTTAAAGCGTTCAATAAAACGTTGAGCTCAAGAAATTGACCTTGAAACTAACTGTGCACCTACACATTTTGGAGCTTTGTTGCCTTAAGGAAGATCTGTGACTCTCCTAATGCTGAAGTGGGAGTGCGGAAGTCTCAAAATCACAATTTCACTGTGTTTCTTCAAATCTCTCCTGCATTTTCTGTCTGTCAGTGTTTCACACTGGGTTGCAAACCTTCTTTTTATACACTGAAATCCATATGCATTTTAAAAAACACCTTCTTTCCAAATTCCCTCCATGTGCATATGTTTTGAATTGTGCACATGAATTATTTGCATTTTAGAACTGCTGCATAATTTTATGTGCACTTCCCCTGCCCTGTAACTTCACAACTAGGCCTTGGGCAGTGGTGCAGAAAAAGCTACTTTCATTAAGTGCCAATTTAAGAGATTGAAATAAAGTCTGTTCTGTTCCTAAACTGAACCCCAAACAGCAAGCTGGCAGCAGCTGCAGCAAAATGTTGCTTGACATGACTGACTCCTAAAAGGAGCTTTCCAGTTGAAGACTGATTCTGTGTGAACAGAAATCCTATTCAGGCTTCTGAGAAGTGATTTTAGGAGGGGAGATGGGCCCTCATTTCTCTCTCTCCTCTACATCTTTCTGTTGCACTGCAACAGGGTAGAAAGCTCCTGAAGAGACACACACAACAGTTGCTCACAGCCCAAAGGGTGAGGAGCAATGGAAACATGCAACAACTATAGTATAATACAGTAGGTGCTTGGGGTCTGGGTTGGATAGCTAAAAGAGTTTGTGATTTAAAAAAAACAAAATGTAATTATTCCTCAATAGACTCATGAATAGGGCTTTGCGCTGGAGATGTGCCTCTTCTTAAATTCCCTTCCCTGCTTCAAGTTACAGGCATTTTGGAAGCTGAGCAGTCATTGTCATTTTTTTGCGGGTGGAGGGATGGGTGCCTTAACACAGGATCATAGAGCTGGGAAGTCAGACAGGTATCCTACTACTGGCACGGCAGGAAATCCACAGAAGAAGCTTCTTCATCAGATGGACATCAGAGCTACTCTGCGTGTGTCATGTGGTGTTTGGGTAGCAGGCGGCTGTGGTACCTGTGGGCAGAGGACTGAGAACCCCCCTCCCCGTGTTGTAGAAAATAGGCCTACCTCTTTCCTTTCCCCTTGAGTGTTGTGGGCTGGTTTTCAGTGCCATAAATTAATTGGGGGGCGGGCAGGGGGAAGATTCACAGAAGCTTTGGAAGGTGGGCGCATATTCCTATGCACCCACCTGGGGGATGGGGAGAAGATTGTGCTCCGGATGTTGTTGGATTGCAACTCCAGCAGGCCTAAGCAACTCTGGGCAAATAGGAGTTGCACCCGACAACCTCTGGCAGGACATCTGTTCACATCCTTATCACAACACATGTACAGTAGTAACAGTCCATATTTTGTCTGTGGCCCACTTGCCCGAAAGGTTTTCTGCTAATCAGGGACGATGATTTCAGTGTTAAACTACATGCTTTGTATACAGGGATACCCAAGGAGATCCTTTAGGGCCAGCCGTGCAATTAGGTAGAGCGAGGCATTACTTTGAGAAGCAGATTTGGAGATAGCATACAAAAGCAGCAAATTTGATCTTGCCTACTTTTACTGTTGTTACGTTGCAGTTCTTATTTCTAAGCTGTGCTGGTGCATGGGGGCAGACTGAAGGCTCAACCCTAAAATTTAGAAGTCCTGAAAGTTTGTTTGCAAAATGACAGATTACAGAAGTTCAGGAAGCAAATTAATTAGCTATTGGTAATCGTTTTAAATTGGCAACCAAAGATTTCAAATGACTCCAGCTGCTCAAGTCAGGGACATGGTGGCGCTGCGGGTTAAACCGCAGAAGCCTCTGTGCTGCAAGGTCAGAAGACCAGCCATTGTAAGATTGAATCCACACGACAGACTGAACTCCCGTCGCTTGTCCCAGCTCCTGCCAACCTAGCCTTTCAAAAGCATGTAAAAATGAGAGTCGATAAATAGGTACCACCTCAGTGGGAAGGTCACGGCGTTCCGTGCCTAGTCGCGCTGGCCACGTGACTACGGAAACTGTCTACAGACAAACACCGGCTCTACGGCTTGGAGACGGGGATGAGTACCACCCCCTAGAGTTGGACATGACTAGACTAAATGTCAAGGGGAACCTTTACCTTTCCAGCTGCTCAAATTAGTCTGGGGAGGTGGATGACCTGAACTTGCTTCCACATTCTCTTCATCTCTTACCTTCATGTTTAGTACTTTGCATTTTTATGCTTGCTGTACTTCTGAGGTTGCTTGTTCATGGAACTTTATGAACCACATTTTCTTTCTTACTTATCCAAAAGTATAATACCTGGTTTTATCCATGATAACTTGCTTGCATTGGCAGTTTTTTAAAAAACTAGAGTGGCTAAAATTGATAATATGGAGGAAAATATGTAAATTATCTGTAAAATTTAGCCAAGTGCTGAAAACATTTTATTTTGAACTTGGTTGTGCCTGCACATAGAACCTGTTAGGCCATCTGGCAATACAGTAATATGATGAATTGATTTTTTAAGATTCATATATCACTTTCACCTTACTTCATAATTATTATCTGGTACTATCTAGTGCAAATAACCTGGTCTCAAATTGCACATAAGAATCGCTCGGGGTGAGCCTGAAGAGAGTATTATTTTAGCCACAGGTTCATATAATTTTTAATCAGTCCATGCCTCCTTGCACTGTAGGGCTTCCATTAATGTAGGTGGTTTTCACTTGAAAATTGTAACACTTTTGTTAGTCCTTTATAATTTTCCACTATTACCCAATGAAATTAGTACCGGTAGTTTCTAACTTTTAGTGTTTGATCCATGCAGAGATTCTTGAGGTTGATCTGTGCCCACCTATGCTCTGAGGCAAATAAAGGCACTTTCTACATACCTTTGAGTGATGGCAGCAGTATTTTGACAGGAGGGCTTGGATTCCTCCAATATATCACTACTTCCAAGTCCACAGTTCCAAAATAATATGTTAATTCAGTAGGACCCCCTTATCCATGGGATCAGTATCCACTGAGTCACTTGTCTGATCGGAAAATCTTTTTAAAAAATCCTAGAAATACTGTATATATTTTTAACCATGAAGTTAAACACTATACATAGCATGGTTTATTGCTCCTTCCACTAGAGAGAGCCAGAGAGAATGCTGGCTATTCAGTTTCTCCAGAATGCATTCAATATAATCCATGTTACTCAACATTTGTGGGGAGAGAGCTTGGAACCAATTCCTCACAGATATGGGGGTCCTGGGATTCCCCACGGATACTGGGACTGCCCTACTATTAATAGAGGTTGCTTTTAATATTAATAGAGGTAATGTTTACTTCTGCACTGTGTTGTTTTGAGTATCACTCTATAAAAGTACTGTACTTGTTCTGGAATAACAACTTAAGGTCCTTTGTGCTGTAATGTGTGTGGATATTTAAAGATTTTCTCCTCCTCCAAACATTGAATAAACTCTTAATTAGTGAGCTTATAGTTACAGACTTCTGAGAATTTGCCAGTTTTCATGTGGATGATAGCACATTTTTCAACACCAAAGTTCATTTTGATATCTGTACTGTAGGTTTCAGTGATGTTTAAGGGACTATTCCGTTTATTGAGAGAGTTTGTAAATAACTCTATGTAATCGATAAACATGGAGTGTAAAACTTTGAGGCCATTTGTCTGATAATTTGGCTTGTAGCCTTTAGGGCCACTGCTCAGCCCCTGATAAATTTCTGGAGTTCCTTCAAGGCTGATTCAGTATGAAGGAATCTGAAGTTAAGCAGTTACTTACAGCTGTGAGATTTCTTAGTGCAATCTTGTTTGGTCTGGTAGGATGTGAATGCATTTAAGAAAACTATAAATGTTTTGGGAAATGATTGATGCAAACAGTATATAAACTGTAGGTGAACAGGTGAGAAGTTAGCAGTTTTGTGCATCAGAACAATTGCCAGTTTTATAAAGGAGAGAAGTTATTTCTTGTTTAAAAAGTTTATGAATAAGATCAGGATCACCAAGGGCTTTGTTTGTTCATTTTAAAGTTGCTACTTACTGCCAGAGTAATTTTTGTAGGATCACCTGCTTCAGATGTCAAAAATAATTTGGTTGGTTAGCCTTTTACCATAATAATTCTCCCTCACCTTAAAGGGTCTTGCATTACAAGAGTTGGTGTGCATGGTTGGGGCAGAGAGGTTTTGCTTCTGAAAAAAAAACCCAAGCTTTCCTATCAATACTTGAGCTTGTGGGAAAGACAACTAAAATTAACTCCCAAGGTCATCTTCTCCTAATAGCCATGACTTCATTTGGGTCACGTTCGGAGGATCTCAAAAAGAAGCCTCCTCAGCAAAGGGAGCTGGTTCCCGGGGCTATTTTTATGAGCAGAGGTTTGTTCTCCATATGGCTCAGAATGATCTCTTGACACAAGGTTAGTGCTGATTTCACAGTTCTAACTTCCTCAAATAATCTGTGGGTGTAGCATGCTGGAGTTCCTTAGAAAAATTGTTAAATGTATGTTTATCCAGAGAAATAGTCACATGGGACTTAAAACTGGGAGGAGAGAACAGTTTCTTTGGCATAGTGCAGACTTGGTTGGTTTTGGTCTTCCTTTCATACCCATCTTTTCCCAGAGCTCAGGATTCTACATTTTATAAGTACAGTACTCTGTTGCTCCTCAGTAGCCAGTTGCTGTTGTTATCATTGCTCCAGTCACACAAGCAAACAATTGCATTATACTACTGGCACCAACAGGACAGAAAAATGCTGAGAAATTATCTCTGTTCTCCTCTTATAGCCAATTCTCCTTTGCACTTTAGAAATATTTACAAAAAGACAAAACCAAATATATTTTCTTTACTACTTACGATGGATAAGAAAATAGTTTAAACCTGCAAAATTCCTACCAAAAAGCTTAAAAAATATTCTTTAAAAGAAATCTTTCAGAAAACTTGTGGTTGTTACATCTAAATAATATAGGTGGTACTTATATGTAGAAGTAATGATGTAACTACTTGTTACATACTCATCAGTAACAAATTACCATTACAATACTTGTAAGCAGATACTTCCCACCTCTGCCTTTGGAACAGCACCATGTCAGCTGTTATGTAAAGCTGGGATGAGCAACAGTGTAAAGTCTTTGGGGTGGGAGGTGGGTTGCATCAGCTCAGTTTTCTAACCCTCCCTGTCCTGTTCCACAATGGATGAGACAAGTGAAGACACTGGCAGTAGTAGAGGGGATCCCTTCTACTACTGCTGGCTAGTAAAGTCCCAGAGCACAGAAGGGAGCAAGAGAAGCAAGAACTGTAAAGCTTACCATAAGGAACATCCAGGCAGGGCAACCCTGAGTTGTAGTCCAAGAGGCAGTCCAAATGGTCAAACCAGGTCTAAGCATTCCAGCACAAGGAACTCAAAAACAACATAAAGATGACCAAATTCCTTTCAGCCTCCTGCAGAGGTCACTGAAGTCTGTTTTATAGCTCTGCTGCTAGAGCCCCACCCAGCTGCAGGTGCTCAGGTAGTAACAGAAGACCCAAAGTGCAGGATTTGGCCCCCTAAGTCTCCCTGGGACAAAGGGCACACTCATGAGGAGGCCAGTTACTCACAAGGAGACCTTCCCTGCAGCCAAGCACTCTTGTCTTGCGGCTTCACACAAGGGTTGTGCCTCCAGCTCTCTTTTGCTCCCGAGAGCTCCTCAGACTCAGCTCCCGAGACCCACATCTATAAGCTCAGGCTCAAGCAGGTCGACTCCAGCAGGCTCATCCTTGCTAGAGAATGCCTCTGGCTGAGGTCTTGACAGTCCCAGACCATTGAGAGTTGTACGTGCCACCTTTTTCAAAATAGAGAATCATGGTCCATGGTTTCACACTCCACAGCTGTGATCCTGACCCATAGGGCTGTGGTGAGAAAGTAATCCTGGAAATGTCTGCTTTGATAGGTCTTATGAAGCACTGACAATCTAAATGGAAATGCGCACTGATATCACTGGAAGTGGGCAGGAGAGGCTGGCTGACTGAACACCACTGTTGTATAATTGCTTTCAACTATCATCCTTAAACGTCATAAGCTGCCTTGGGTCCTTTTCAAGGAGAAAGGTGGGGTAGAAATATTTTTGAATGAATGAATGTGTCTCCCTTCCTTACTGGTGGCTCTAGCTACAAAAAGCATGTGCTTTGAGTTCAGAAAGCTAGTAGGAGAGCACCTCTTTTGCGCACTAAAGGTCTCTATTTGGCTACTCTTGCTTGGACTGGGCAACAGCCCTGCCTGAAAGACTGGAGAACTACCATCAGGCAATGTAATCCATACAAAGCTAGCTGGACCATTGAGTCAGCCTAAGGCAGCTTCCTATTTTGATACAGATGTGGAGGAAAACAGATGCTTTTAATGATAGCCCTCTAGCAGCAGAGCCATTTGTTTGCAAAGTTATACAGCGAGAGGAAACAGGATGATGAGATGCTTCAGTTTACAAGGAAAATGTCTCTTGGCCAAGTAAATAGCCACATTCTTTCTGTCATCTTAAAGAGTTTCCATCTCTGAGAAGGTCACCTGGTGCCACTGCTGTCTTTTGGACTGTTTTGCATCAGCATAGTCACAAAAAGATCTAAATCGTTCCAGAGAGCGGATTCTCTGGACTGCGTCAATTCCTGCTTTGCATAGCCATCAGTACACATCAGCAAGGCCAACATAAATAAAAAATAAAAATTAACATGCCCCTCTTCCTTTGCCTTGCACAAACACTGAGGTTTATGAGGCTTGATGTTGCCATATCTCTATTTCTTTGGTTTCGATGAACAAAGAAAAGCAGGGGAGGCTTTCCATTTGTCCAGCACTCTGCCCCGATAATGGCTGACCAGATGCCTCTTGGAAGATCACAAGGAGGACATGAGTACTGTAGTTTCCTCCCGTCTGTATTCAAGAGGTATGGCATCTCTTATCCCAGATGCAGTATTTAATTGTCATGATTACCCTTCGTTGAGACATTTGAAACATCTTATTTTCCTTCTTTTTTCCTTTTTCCCGCTTCCCTGGTTCAGCATTTATTTTCCGTATAAAGCATAGAGCCTGCTAACCTCTATGCAGAGCTGATGTTCTGGATTACATTACAGTATTTTAAACCAGGGCCAAGGAAACGGTTGCCTTCCAGTTTTTGTTGCAACCGTTTTGTTCTGGCTCTTATCGTTCCAGACCTTTGGTCATGCTGGTTGGGGCGAATGGGAGCTGGAGTCCAAGTAGGGTGTACAGACGTCTTATGCCCGTTTTAAACCAAAGGGACCCAGAGCATGCAACCAGCTTTCTTGGCAAGAGTTCCAACAAACCATGTCTGAATGAAAAATGTTCTTTGAACTTTTTCTGTTTCCCTTTCTGGCTGCTACTGAGAGGACCAAGCAACTCTATTCGTGCTATGACTTGCAGTCTCTCCACATGTCTCTGTTTCTTTGGCACAAATTAACTTCCCCCCTGGCCCCAATTTAAAACCTCTGTGCGTTTTCCCAAGAGAATATAATCCTCCATAACATTTATTTAAACAGGAAATAATTCCAAATTAGAGAGCTACATTTCAAGATATTGCTGTTGCTTTTGAGCCAGTCTGTGAAATTCAGCTCAGAAGAACACAGGAAAAGCCTTGTTGAATTGGAGTAAAGATCCACCCACTTTCCACGCATGGCCACCCAGGCATACCTAGAAAGTTCTCAGGTTGGGCATGAAAACTATAGCCTTCCTCTGTTTTGTGTGCTAGCTAGCATTCAGAACTAAATTGCCAGAGGCTCCACTTAGGGGGCAGATTAGGGTAATATGTGGGTCTGGTCCTGGACCCCTTCCTGCTGATAAATTGCTGGCAGAAAGGAGATCTGTCCCCAGCAAAGCAGGGCGGGGGGGGGGGACAATTCTTCTTTGAAACAAGTCTTACACTCTCTTGAATGAATGGGGGGAATGGGCTCCTGGGCTGCATCCACCCCAGATTCAGGGTGATTAAGACTAATAAACACTGACAGACCAAGCCAACCACCTTAAGCATTATTTACAGTTGAGGGAAAGGGAGGAGCAGAAAAAGCACCATCCTGCCTTTTCCCTACTCCCAAGCCCCATTTGGCATACATAAGCGGCATCCTCCTCTACCCCACCCCTGCTTTCCCCATCCTGTTCTGTGTAACCTGGGATTGGGCTCTTAGCTTCTGTGGATGGAAGAGAAAGGTGTTGGTTTGTATCCTAACTAGAGGTGGGCACGAACTTCAGTTTGGAGGTTTCTGCTGGTTCCTATGTGCAGAACCACAGGTGCCACATGCTCCCTTCCCCTGCCTGGATCCCCCACTCATCTCCTCTTCATCTGTTCGACCACTCAGACAAGGAGGCAGGACAGGCAAACACATGTTACTGCACTGGTTGAAGAGACGAAGGAGAGGAGGAGAGAAACACACTCTAATTGGTGAGTGGGTAATTGGCTGGGGAGGCGGGGAAAGAGAATACGTGGCATCTGTGGTGCTGTGTGTACGAACAACATGAACCTCCGAACCGAGGTTCATGCCCATCTCTAATACTAACACAAATGTAATTTCACACTTTCTGCAGGAATATGAATTCCAGAATGCCATTATGCTTCATTCTGCTATGCAGTTCTCTGATATATGAATTCCAGAATGCCATTCTGCTTCATTCTGCTATGCAGTTCTCTGATAAAAACAATGCACACCAAAATACATACATTAGAAAATATTACAAAAAAAATGCATACAGGGCTACGCACCCCGGGAGCAAGACATGCAAAACTATATACAACATGTTAAGGCTTTTTACCAGAGGAAAAAAATCTGACAGGCTGATGCTGAGCAGCAGTGGAATAAACTTGTGCTTCAAAAGGTTCAAACCTAGCAGAAAATGGAAGAGGCAGAGATGTCTAGCCATGGCTGCTCCCTGGAGGGTTAAACGTGCTAGCAATAGATACAAACAGCCCAAGTCTTTTTTTTTTTTTTTGCCCATTTATTTCTATTGGAAAGTATTTTGCTTCAAGGAAAAGGAAATCAGCTTTACATGTAGCGCTAGTATTTTAAGCTTCACAACAGGAGGAGAGATCATAATGGTTTTCCAACCATTGGAAAAGAATGTTTTTACAATTCAGTTTTTCTTGTCAGAGTGCTATTTTGCCCACCCTTGTTTGCAAACTGAAACTGTAACTATCTATGAACACACTGAATTCTCTTGATTTTCAAAGGCAACAGCAAAGCAGATACATTTGAGAAAGCAAAACCTCATTTGAAAATTTGTAGCCCCTCCTGCTACTCACCCACCCCAGCAAAAACACACTGCTAGATTAAACAGTAGCATTGAACAGCCTCTTAATTCAATGAGAAACAGGAAGGGAATTCTGCAACAGAAATTTCCTGCCTGCCATACACAAGGAAGAATATTTACTATTCAACTTTCAAAGCAGATAAGCCATGTTTCCCCATGTTTTTCTAGGTCTGCTAAAGCTTTAAGCTAAATTGGCTATTTTATAAGAGCGTCAAATGTTATAGAATTGGGGGCCTTTCTTTTTCTCAGCAGGATCCATCCCCTACGATCTACCGTGACACCTGCTAATGTTTCGTAGCCATTGGCTTCCTAGTCCACTGCAGGAGGGTAAGGGAAATTTCATGGACCGATAGTACTGAATGTCTCTGTCAGGAGGCACAGAATAACCCATGTCAGAGAAGGAAACAGCAAGTTTGTTGAAGAAGATCAAAGCAGAGCACTGGAGACTTCATGACTTTAGATTCCTTGCTTTCTGTAACCTTCCAAATCAAGAGTTTGGAAGACAGGGAGTGAGCTGTGCATGCACATGCTTTCCTTCTCCTACTCATGAGAAGGTTTGTTGAAACCATTACTTTCCTTGATTCAGGGCCAGTGGGTATATTTGTGGAAATCTCACAAACCATTATGTCTGTTTGAGTCCTTAAAAGGCCTTTTAAAAAAGAAACTGCAAGTGACTGGCTGGCCTTCAAGGCCAGGATGGAGCAAAAATTGGGAGTAATGCAGCAAAGTCAGAGGAAGATGTGTTCTTCTCCGGGAAATCATTGCTAGACTTGCGGGGTATTGGTCACCTCAATCTATAAATGCAATTGGAGTTTCCAATAAATTAGTTTCCATAGCATGTGCTTATAGCTCATTTTGTGGTCATCACAATTATAATTTCTGTGTGAACAAAATTATTCCCCCAGGCACATTATATTGAGAAAGTGAGAATTACTTATTTTTTTTTTTGACAAAAAGCTACTGCTGGAATCAACGGAATAAGTCAACTTTTTGGAGTTGCCAGATTTATCCTCAGGTATTGATTTGTCTTTCACCTGAGCTTGTAAATAACATCCTCTATTTGTAGGTTGAAGGAATGAGGTACAAGGGTGGAAACAGGGCATCGGTGGGCCCTCAGTGGTGACATGATTTACTATGTGTGTAG